GGGGGAGAAGGGATCATCTGACAAGTTCATTTAGCTTTGCAGAAATGGAAGTGCAGAAAGAGCAAGGCGGGGCTCTGATCCCCATTCACACTCAGCGACCTACGGTGGCTGGCGGACACAGTAGCCTTTGGAAAGGCCTGGGGTGGGGGGCAAAGCCTGGCCATGTGGGGCCAGTCTATGGCTCAGAGGCCTTGCTGGCCAGGCCACTTCTAACAGTGGCTCTGTCAACCCACAGCTTCAAGTTATTTGAGCACCACTGTGTTCCAGGATTATCACTTAATGTTCACAACAGCTGAGACCCACGGCTGGAAAGTGACTGGCCCCAGTTCACGTGGGCTGACATTGGGACTTGAATCCAGGCAGTCTAGCTCCTGAGTCCCCACTCCAAACCACGGGCTTCTGCGGTACTTTCTTTGTACTCTATAGGGCTTCCCACCTTGGGGAGAGAATGCAAGCATCCAGATCACCTGAAGCATTAAAAATCTCCTTTCAGCCTTGCAGCAGCCCCTCAAGTCACCCCCTTGCTGCGGTTCTCACAGAGCTGGGGGGAAAGGGCTGCCATTTTATAGTAACAGACTGGCTGGGATTCTGGGAGCTGCTGGATTAGAAACCTGAATATCCAGTTAGAAGGAGAAATTCAATCTGAGGACTGGGCCCCAATAAGCCCCTTCCCCCAGTACAGGAAACAGCTCTAGGTAGAGGAAGAGAGGGGTGCAGCCACCCAGCACATCCAGGTTTCAACCCCTCTCGGGGATCCTGCTCCACCTGTTGCTCCCGGAACAGTCCCACCAGGGAAGGGTAGACACAGCCCAAGCACTGTGACCCTGTCTCACGGGTGGGTCAGTCAGCAGTCCTCGGTGGGACCTCCCTCCCTGGGGACGGGCCTGGCGCTCCAAGGCCATTTCCCAGTCTGGGGGCTAGCAGGCAGTCTTGGCAAAGTTCCCGCCCAAATGCTACTTCCCTGACTCACTTCCTTCCCTAAATCCAGGGGCAATGGGGGGCAGCAGGGCAGGAAGAAGCCAGCCTGGGGCCACAGGGACCAGGAGCCAGGAGCTCAGAAGTGAAAGCCATCCAGCACCAGCTTCGATGCCCTCCCTCAGCTGGGATGGAGGGAGGGGATTCTAGGCACCCTAGCATGGCAGGGAAGACTGGGTTCCTGAGGTGGGGAAACTTTGGTGCCCACCTGCCTACCTCAGGGGCCCCTGCCTCTGCCAGTTTCCCCACAGCTTCACGTGTCACTGTACTGGAGAGTCAAAGTACATTGAAATCAGAGTCTCGTTCAAGTGACCGCCTACGCAGTCTGGGCAGCAATTCAAGAAGAAGCCTGGGAAGACCATGACACCCAGGAGCCCAAAATTTTGGAGGACCCTAATCATGGCCTTTCCCCCCACCGCCACCCCCAGCCTGAGGCTCAGAGTCCCAGAATCAGCACCGGGCTACTAGACCTGAAGGAGGCCCCAGAGACCACCTAAATCCAGCTGGAGCCCAGAGACAGGGGAGTGATTTGCCAGCAGTCACACAGGTAGTGAGTGACAGAATAGGACTAGTTGGAACAGAGCAGGAGACACAGGAAGCTGAGCCTCTGAGGGACTCGGGTTCTGCCCCCTCCCTTGGGTGGGTAAACAGTCAAGGGAACAGTGAAGGTGCTGGCACCTGACCAGAGAAAAACCCACAGGCCTCTACCAAAAGCTGCTATTAAGTAAACTCCATGTCTACAGTGGGGAGAGAGCCAGGGAAAGGGAGGTCTGGAAACCTCAGAGGAAGAACCAGCCAATCTCCCATGGGCCACATCTTCCCTCTTTCCAGGTGGTCACAGAATTTCAGGGTGGTACCCCAACACCTTCTTTGGCTTGAATCCTCTCTCTAGTATCCCCACCAAGTGGTCACTTACCATGTGCTTATACACCCCCAATGATGGGAGCTCACGACTTCTCAGGCAATCAATGCCATCTTTGGACAGCTCTCATGGTCAGGGCCTTCAGGTTTCTGAGCCCTCATCAGCCTCCCAGGAGCTTCTTGGAGCCATCAGATCAAGGCTGATTCTGCCAATAGGTCGAGACCTCCTGAGAGTGAAAAACCCCAGGCCCTACTCTATGCACTCTCTTCCTCACCTGGGTGCTGTTCAGAACAGAGAGCAACCTTCCAGGCAGGGGACAGAGGGGCACAGCAAAGGGACACCCCCACCTCCTTTGTTCTAGAGGCATCTCTGGCTTCATGAGCCCTGGGCAGTTTGGTCACAGTTCCTTCTTTTGGAATTGATTTCTATGGAAACTCCCAAGGCACAATCAGAAATGTTGGTTATCTGCCCCAAAGTAAGTAGAGGTGAGAGAGAGATCCAAACAAACAGATAAACCATTCACTTAGTGCATAGTGTGAGTGAGTGCATAGGTGTGTGTGCAAATGTCCAGGGGTCATGGGTCCCCTCGAGTCTGCTACCCTCAGATTCATCTGGGGCTCAGGCTGACGGATTTAGCCACAAAACCCCCAGCAAACAGCTGAAAAGGAAGCCTGTGGCCTAATGGCTCTGCCAGCCGCTTTCTTGGAGGTCTTGTCATATCCAACACCCCCTTTTCACCTCAATTCTCTTTCTCTTCACTCCTCTTCCCAGGAATATCACAACTTGTCACCCATAGAGAGTTTTTTAGTTCTCAAAATCGTTTCACATTCCCTATCTCATTTGAATGCCACAAGAATCTTGTGACATGGTTAGGAGATGGGTTATTTCCTATTTCTCAGGTGGAGAAACCGAGGCTGTGAGGATAAGCTAGTGAAAATGCTTCATAAACACGTGGCTCAGAGGAGTCTGACTCATGTCCATCCCCGCCCCCACCTTTTCAATCCCCACCTTTTCACTTCAGGCTCAGGTACTTTCTGGCTGCCCTGAACTGCCTCCCACAAGGTAGGTCACCCACAAACCCCTATGATAAAAGATTCAAGGGCAGGTATACCTGAATACTATACAACGCAAATGAGATGCAAACTAGCACACTATAAAATTAGTAGCCGAGAGCTCCAGGTCTTTGGGGCAACTGAGCTAGAGCTGAGGCTACAGCTCCAGCCTCCTGGCCTCAGATCCTCCCTTGTCTCAGCTCTGCAAACCCTCAGAGGATGGGCTGGGAACCTACTTGCTTTCTCCCCACCACACCCCCAGTCACCAGTCACACTGGGTGTCGCCTAGAACAGCATTCAGGAGCCAAGAAGATAACATGGAAAACTGGGGTAAAGGAAGAGGAGTAGTCAATGCTCTTGTCAAAGCTTTGAGTGTCCAAGCTGACTCCCCACACAGAATTCATCCCTTGGACCTGAGATAGATGCACTGATTTCCATGAACCCTGAGGTCCTCATAGGAGGTATGTACAACTCATAAGCCACAGAAAGTTCGGGGACAAGGAGGACTAGGAGCCCAATAGAGCACAGTCAGGCAATGGCAAAGTTGGAATCATATCCCAGGGGTCCTGCTTCTCAGCCCAGAGCTCGGCAAATGATTGTTGTGTGACTTTGACAAGTCCATTCCTTCCTTGGCCCTCAGTTTCCCCAGCTCTACAATGAGGGGCTAGGCCGCTACTCCCAGTCCCCAAGCTCTGACATTCTTGGGTTCCCCAATATCATGGGAGAGTAGAGCCAAAGGATCTCTAAGCTTGGAATAAGAAGGGAGTATCCCAACTCCAAGTTCCTTAAGGCCTGTCTCTGTACAGTCCTAAGCTCTCAGGGTTAACTGTCCACCCAGGAACAAGGGGGGCCCTTGCACTTGAGGCTTGGACACATCTGCCCCCTTGATTTGTAAGTCATCTGCCTGGCCACCGCAAACATCATGACCATGCCACAGCCACACCAGCCAGGCCCAAGTGGGCAGTGAAAAGAAATACAGTTGACCCTTGAACAACGCTGGTTTGAACTTTACGGGTCTACTTATACACAGATTTTTTTAAAAAGGACATGCTCAGCTCAACTGACTCACTGAGTTCAATTGACTGGCACAGTTCAAACCCACATTGTTTGAGGGTCGTCAACTGATGGTTGGAATTCCACATATGCAGAGGGCCAACTTAAATTATGCACAGATTTTCGACTGCACGGGTGGTTGGCACCACTAACCCCTGCGTCGTTTAAGGGTCAACTGTGCAGCCTCCAGACTCTGGTGACAGTGATCTGTCCAAGCTGGATGACAGATGGCATTCGCGTGGGGCTGGACAAGAAGGGTAGCTGCAAAGAAGTTGCACCATCTCTGATTACCCTTTAGAGACCCAGTGAAAAAGAGAGATTCCCCAAAGATACTTTTTTACAGGTATGCAATTGCCCCAAATTTCCAAAATCCATGTAACCCCCAACAGCCCACCCCAAACACAGCCCACGAGTGGGGTTCCTGACTGTGTACACATGCTTATAACACACACACCCACACAAGCACACACACACAAAAACACACACCCATGGGTAACACACACTGGGCACACACAGACCAGGCACATATGTACAAATATTCGAAATGGGAAAAAGGTTTAGGGACTGGGATTCAGAGGCCCCGGATTTGGGACCAGCTTGCCTGGCATCCGCTGGATGACCACTGACAAGCCCTTTGAATCTAACACCATCTGTAAAATGGAGACACACGACTACTTGCCTCCCAGAGCTACAATGAAGATGAAAGGGGCTGCTGTGAGTGGGTTTGGAAAACTGCAAGAAAGTTCTTGGGCTGTTTACACTTAATGCGCCTGAGCTATGCTGGAGGGCTGGGGAGCTGGTGTCAGCAGCCTTAAAAGCACCCTGATGTCTTAGAAAGGGGGATGGGACTTAGAGCTGAGCTGGCACTCCACAACAAAATTGAAGGACAACGACTTGACTTGGAGCTGATGGATCCTGGAAAAAACACAGTTACCCAATAAAAATTAAGAAGAGAGAGAGAGAGAGAGAGAGAGAGAGAGAGAGAGAGAGAGAGAGAGAGGGGGGGGAAGGAAGGAAGGAAGGAAGGAAGGAAGGAAGGAAGGAAGGAAGGAAGGAAGGAAGAAGGGAGGGAAGGAAGGAAGGAAGGAAAGAAGGAAAGGGGTTTGGCATGTCATTCAAAAGACCTGCTTCGCTACTCCAGTTCTGTAACTAGGAGACTTGGGCAAGTCCCTTCCTCTCTCTGGGCCTCCTTTTCCCCATCTGTAGGAGAGGGTTGTACCAGGAAATCCTGGGATTCTGTACCTGTAAGGACCTGCCGCTTCCTCCTGAGGCCAGAGCATTGAGGACCACCTGCTCTTCGGTGGCTCTTGCCCGCAGAAAAGGTGGCAAGAACCCTTTCCAAGGGCAGAGCCCAGTAGAGCCAACCTCCCAAAGTACCTAGTTGAACAGCAGCTCTGGATGCCCCGGGCCACCGGGCAGGTGTGGGGGTGCGCAACTGAGCCCTAGGCCAGGGTCATCAGGACGATAGCTAATGGGGAAATGCCCCTTCTGCACCCGGCGGTCAGCCCCTGAGAAGGATTGGGGCGAGGCGGCAAGTGGGGGGCACCTTTGATTCCAGGACTCCACCCACTGCGCCCGCGGGAGCCTAGCGCCTCACTTTCCCAGCTTCTCCAGGAGGCGGGGGAGGGCAGGGCAGGTCTCGGACACAGCGAGTGGCCTAGCTGTGGGTGGCGCGGTCAGACCCCGTCCCAGCGTTGAACGGCCCCCTCCCCGGGTCCGTCTCCGCGCCCTTGGTGCGCGCCCTTGGTTCCAGGACCCCTCCTTACCCAGAACTTGGAGCCGCACAGGGCGTCCATGGGGACGAGGCACAGCGGCGAGAAAGGCGAGAAAGGCGAGCGTGGTCGTAACCCAGCTCGCGACGGAAAGGGCTCTGGAACCTCCTCCGCCCGGCGCTCCGCCCCTGCCCGCCCCGCCGAGCCCTACCCCAAGGCCCTTTGGGTCCAATTCTCGAGTCCCGGCGATTACGACAGAGCCTCCCAGGAGCTGCGGCTCAGGGAGGGACTTTGGGACAGGTGTAGGGAGCCATTAACACAGTGACAACCCCTTCGAGGAGCCACTGAGCCATGCAGAAGGGATGCCCCTCCAGATACTGAGGCCGATAGGACTCGAGCAGGGTCTGTTTCCAAGGGGCTCCGACTGGCTCCCACAGTGCACAACTCTGCGGGGGGCCGATGAGTCACGGAGACAAGGCGAGGGATCTACTCTCTCAGGGACTAGATCCTTGAAAAGTTCACGTTCATCTCTAGAGCTCAGTCTCATTATCTATGGAATGGGAAAAGCTTGTGTGCCCAGGCAAATCTGGAAGTCCACCTCTCCCCACAAGTTGCCAGAGTACTGGCAGACACCCACACATAATGTGCATGTGTGTACGCGTACCTGAGGAGAGGGGGTGGGGCGGGAGTCCCAGCATCATCCAGGGGTGGTGGCTTCCTATGATTACCTTAAATTGCTGCCTTCCAGAGGTCCTGTGGCTCCCTGATCATGTGGGGGTTGCTTCAGCACCAAACTGTGCTTCCGTTTTCACTTCCATAAAACAGGGATAATCACAGTACCTCCCTCACAGAGTTACTTCGAGGATTAAATGGGAACAGTATGTAAAGCGTCAAGCATATTGCGGGCACACTTAGTAGGCACCCAGCATGTGTTAATTTCCTCCGCTTCAACCTGGTCAGGGTGGTGGATGGGCAGGTGAGGCCCCAGAAAGAGCCTCACTTTAGCATCCTTCTCCTAAAGCCAAGTCTCCACAGTCCCTAACTGTAAAATGGGTTTGGAGTCAGTGACCTCCTTCTCCTGCTTGCCCCAGCTTGGCCGCTCTGGGATTCATCCCTCCCTCCATCTCTCACTCCCCAAGTCACACAAAGTAACAAATTCCAAAAAGCCACTTCACCATCCCTTCTTGGGGCTGACAACCACTCACCCCTGCAGTTCTTCCTCCTGGTCTCTCTCCCCCGCCCTCGCTTTCCCAAACTTGTCTCCGTCTGCTGGGTCTGCCCAGGTTCACCTGGTGATCCCTTCCCTGGCACTTGTTTCAGCAGCAGGCATGGGCAGATGCCAGAAAGATAGAATAGCAGCAAGCCACCACCTGTCCCTCTGGGAAGGGAGGAAGTCACCAGAAGGAAGTGTCTTCAGCCATGGGCTATCAGAACAGGCCTATGAGCCTGAATGGGGTGGGGCATGGGAGCAGGGTGGATAAGGTGCCCCCTTCCCAGGCAGTGGGACAGGTGCCTCTCCCTCCACCGGGCAAGTCTTCTCAGCCCTTTGTCTGCCCCACGTCCCTCCACTCACATGGTCACACCCTTCACTCCCCATTACTAAGCCAAAGACTTCACAGAGATTTCATACTCTTGTCACACTATGCCTTGGGTTATATTTAGTTGTGAAGAGTCTGTCTTCCCTGCCAGTCTGAGAGGTCCCCAAAAGCAGGGATCAACTGAGTCAGTCACCTTCAATCCCCTTGGGCAGTGCCTTTTGTATGCTGTGTGACCTCAACAACCCCCTTGATGTCTCTAGGACTTAGTTTCATTTATTTATTTATTTATTTATTTATTTATTTATTTATTTATTTATTTTTATTGGGGAATTAGGGGGATGGGAACAGTGCTGGGGAATTGGGGGAAGGGGAACAGACAAGTTGCTGTCCTTTTGTTCTTCAGTCTAGCTGTGGAGGACGTTGCTTCACTGGCCCAAGTTGGCACCATCATTGCGCTCTTCCCGGGCGAGGCAGATCAGTCGCCTTCTGGACGGCTGCTCACTGCGGCTGCTGGCCACTCGCTGCAGCTGCTGGCTACATACCGTAGCCCATGGCAACCCACTGCCACAGAGGCTGCAGCCTACGCTGTTGCCGGCGACTTATGGCAGCCCAGCTCCAGGTTGAGCTGTTGTTCAGCATCTTAGCTGTAGAGGGCAGTGTCACTAGCCCTCATATGTGGGATCTGAACCGGGGCCCTCTGGCGTCCCAAGCCAGTTCTTAACCATCGCGCCACTCGGCCAGCCTAGGACTCAGTTTCTTGATCAACTTGGATGAGATGCCATCTAATATCTCTCCCAACCCTGGTTTCTATGGCCTGAGCAGCTGGGAATTGTCCTCCTACTCTACCCCTAACCCCAGTCTCGGTTTCACCAGCACCTCCTGCCCCTCTGTTTTCGCCTTGGTCTATGCATCAGTCTCCCCTGCCTCTCTCTCCTCTCCTGTTCCTTCTCTAAGGCACCAAAGAACCTGGTGCCTAAGGCTGGTTCGGGGCTTAGGGAGACGGGGACTTCCTTCAGGGACGTTCGAGACGTGAGCTCTCTAAGCAGTTCTCCATCCTGAAATGGGGAGCCCAGGATCAGCCAAGGCTCCCATTCAAGACACTAGCCCCAGAGCTGGCCAGCTACCCACTGGTTAGAGCTCTAGTTTGGGGCCGGGCCCTTGGGTTCTGTCTTCGGCATTGAGGCTGCAGCACCATCTCCTTTGGCCCCAGCCTTCTCGTGTTGCCATTGGCGAGCCCTGCTCAAGTTGGTGGCATTGGGTGGGAGCCCTTGGCAATCCTCGCCTTCTCCCATCTCTCTTGAGGCATTGAGAGTTTGCCCTTCCCAGCCCCTCATGGAACGTGGCCCCTTCCACACAGCCCTTGAATAACCACCACAGCTTTCCAAGGATATTATGGTTTTGGTTGTTCTCACCAGAGCAAGAACATTGAGGCCTCACTGTCATGGCAGAGGCAGGATGAGCTGCACATCTACCTGAATGCCAGCTGTTTCCACGCAGCCTCCCTGGCCATATTCATTTCCTGTATCCTTTTTTTTTTTTTTTAAGCTGAGCCATCCTGCCACCTGTTGGCAGCTCAGCAGCAGCTCAGCTCGGGCCAGGACTCGAACCGCTGTTGCTCAGAGCTTGCGCTCTTGAGCGAGCTCTTAACCAACTGAGCCACTCGGCCGGCCCCATTTCCTGTATCCTTAACTGTTGCACTTATGCCCCCCTCCCCCCTTCAAGGTTACTTGGGCTACTCTCCCCACTAAGCCTCACCTTCCTTTCTGCACCTGGCAAACTCTATTCATCCTTGAAGATTTCACTCAAACCTCCCCTCCACCCCCAAGCCTTCCTTAAACCTCCCCCATTGAAATTCTGGGCTAGGGACCATTCCTCTGCATAGCCTTCCCTCCTTGTGTTGTACTCACTGATTGCCTCGCTCACCTCCCCCAGAAGAGGAGAGACAGATTAAAGATAGGGACCAAGTCTCATTTTTTTGCTGTATCCTCAGCATCCAGGACAGTGCCTGGCAAAGTAGGTCCTCAGGAAATGTTTGTTGACTAAATAAATATCTCATGTCCTAAGAAGAGGTCATAGGTAGTGAGGCTACTGTGCCATTAGGCAGTCCCAGCAGCGGGTACTGTCCACTCAGCTTTTGAGTTTTCACAACCAAGATGTTTCCAATTCGAGGCTCCTGAGATGAGCTGTAAAGACCTGTGGGTTGGGCTGCAGCGGAGGGAGGGACTGAACCTCCAAACAGCTTGAGTGGCCCCAGCCCCAGCCTCCCTCCCCAACTAACTGCAGCTCCAGGCAGTTTGGACAGAGCATGTGCTGCGCCTCCCCTGCCAGGGAGCATCCCAGGGGAACTCAGCATCGGGGATTTTCCAGCAGGGAGATGGAAAGATAAGATAATTGCAAGGTATAGTTCTGAGTAGGAATGACAGAGAGAAGAAAGCAGAGCAAGGCAGGGACAGGGAGACCCAGGGACAGGAAATGCTGCAAATGGGGAGAGTCTGGTGGGAAACGACAAGACAGGGGGAAGGGTGTGGAACAGCAAAGGCAGGCTGCTAGCTCTCCCCTCTGCTCACTGCGCGATTCCTTTGAGCCCTCTTTGGCTCCTCGAAGGCCTGGATCACCTCCAAACCAACCTCCAGCTCCCAAGCTCTGGGCTCAACCTTTCTCTCCTGCTTCCTCCAGACCCCAGCCTGGTGGGGGCTGCCCTGGCACTACTCTTGGCCTCAGCAACGCTGCCCTTCTGCCCCCAACCTGCACTTGATCGGATTTGGCATACATGTGAGCACTGGCTGCTGTGCCCGATTCAAGAATTTTCAAGACAAGAAGAATTAATTAGCTCCATGGGCTACAGTCAGCAGTTCCCACACCTGGACCAGGGCTAAGACACATGGAGTTCCTAAGTTCCCTGGCAGAATTCCTGCCTGGGCATTCACTGGCGCTGCCACCTCCTTGACCTGCCTTGCTGTGCCCTCAAAGCAGGGCTCCAGCGCACAACTAAACTCTGACAGTTAATTCCCCTCCTGGCAACCACTGTCCTGGATTAGTCCTCGTTCACTGGCCTTAGGCAAGGATCCCTGGGCACCATGGCTCAACACTCCAAAGGCTGGGCTTCCCCACACACAGACAAGTCCTTCACTGGGCCCCATGAGCCTGTTTCCTCTTGGGGGGAGGGGCGGAGGGGAGGGTGGAGGCTATGCAGAGCACCTGTCCATAGAAGGCATCCACCAGCATTGGTCTTCTCCCTGGATTGGTCCCCCTGCCAAGGGGGCACTGGGGTGGCACCAGGTGAAGGTGCCTTATGCTGCCACCTGGTGTCTGATGTCTTCACTACACTGCTGTCGCCAGCCCCACAGGTTGGGCTAATCAATTGGCCTGGGAGAGTGGACAGGAGGCCATGGGTCATGGGGCTGTGATGGGTGGGGACTAGGATGAGGGCGGCAAAGGCTGTTTGGAAAGTGGGAGAGGTGTGGGTGGGTCATGGGGAGAGGACGGGAAGAGACAAGGGAGTGGGAGGAAGAGGAGGAGAGCAGGGGCTCTGGGATTTAAGGGAAGCATTATATCAGGGAAAGGTGGTTCCT